CTTGCGCAGTCGGTTCATGTGAATCGTGGAAGCTCCGTAGGTGGGGAACGCGCGGGGGACAACCGGTCGATCCTCGAACGTAGGCGTGAGCCCGTGCATGGTGGGGGGCTTTTTTTTTGGTTGGTGGGGCGGTGGAGGTGGCAGATCGCGTAGACGGGTGAGATGGTACTCATGACTGGCCTCGTTAGCCAGGGTGAACATGCGCTCCACGTCGTCTCGTGCGTCGGCCTGCTCCATGCGGTCCTGGTATCGCCCAGCGATGAGGGTCCCAAGTGCTTGCAGCTCGTGCCCCTCATGAACTCCATCGTCGGGCGGGTAAGGCGTAGGGGCAAGAAGGCGTCGGGCCGTATGGTCGAGGCGACTGAGGCCAAGCGTGACCTGCAGGCCAACGTGAGACTTCGCAGGCAAGTCGCGAAGGTAGCAGAAGTCGGTGACAAGGGATCGCGCCGCCTGGTTGGCAATGATATAATCGATGCGCGAAGTGCGGGGGCACTTGGTGACACGGTCCCAATCAGGGATATTGCCATAGGTGTGCATGGTGTGGTCTGGTGTGCCCTCAGCAACGTTGGACCATCCGTGCTGCAACATGTGCAGAAGGTGTGGATTGTCGTCAATGTTCGTGTTGGCGTCCATGCAGATGAAGTAGGGTGCTGAGCCGACCCTAGCGGCGGCACAGTCAGCGAGCCGAAAGAGAGATGTGCTGTCTCCTCCAGCAATCCCGTAAAGGCTCGCTATGTAGATCCCCGCGGGCCCATGGTTATTTCGTCGCCGCCTACGGCGGTGTTGAGTGCAGAGTGGGAGAAAGACCTCATGCCATCTTTTCTTGGCCTTGAGGGCGGCGATACAGGGCGCATTGTCGTCGACAGTGGAGTCGACGATGGCATCCTTAGAGAGAATGGCGACCCCTCCCGAGGCACCAGTGTTGCCCACAGCGGTGTGATCAGTGCCGCCGTGTGCAGCTCTGCGCTGGGCTCGCGCCAGATCAAGGTCAGGCCCAAGACTGGCGTGGTATCCACCGTGGAGAGGATTGGCGGCGCTGGTAGCGATGGCTTGCCTAGTCGGCTTGGCATGTCGGGTCTCCTGCAGTGCTATGACAGCGGCGTTGTGGTCGACACCAAGGGCGGTGATGGTTGGCCCGTTCGCTGAGAGACTGGTGATATTAAGGCTGACGAGGTGTATGGAGCGACCTGGCCCGTCTCCATCGGTGGAACTGGGGTTTGCGCGCCCCGCACGGTGAAGGTCAGCTTGACCCTCGCCCCAGTAGGAGACTTGGCCACAGTAGGAGCTCATGGCGTTACTATGGGCTAGCTTGATCGGGGCTGAAGCCGCCGTCAGGCCAACCATATAGGCGGGACACGGTCGGCACTGCGCCAGGGGGGGTTCATAAATATTAGTAAAAATGTCACGAAAATTCCTCCTCACTCCTGTACTATAGGGGACGAGGGGAGGAGAAGTGAGACGGCAGCAGTGGGAGAGGGAAGCGACTCCTCGATCCATCCTGCTGAACACAAATACAAAAACGAGACAGCGGCGGCGGCAGGCGCGGCGGCGGCACAACGCACGCGCATGTACTGCGCACGCGCCACCGCTGGTCCCTTCTGCGGTGACACGCCCGCCCCGTCAGTGTCTTGATGAGCAGCATCTGGTGGAACGGCTCCAGCAGCACGATCGGAGGCCTGACGCTGGGCCTCGTCCATGCCCGCTGCCGTGAGGCCCACGTTGCGGACAGGGCTGATTTCCCGCGGGGCCGCAGCTGCCGCGGCAGCAGCCGAGGTGGCGGGGGCACCGCCCCGACTCTGAGGTGAGAGCGGTGAGCCCCCGCCAAAACCCGCCACAAGGTTCTTGACACGGTACTTGTTCTTGAACGGGTCGAAGGTTGGCGCCTCGTCGATGGGGGCGATCACGCGGGTGGGCAGCTGCGGCTCGTGGTCCGTGGACGGCGTCGGCTCGAGGTCGACCTGGCTGGGGTCGATGACGCTGGCTCCGAAGCGTGGCACCACTTCGGGGGGTCGGCCATCGGCCTGAGTCTCGCGAGGCGGCGAGCTCGTGGAGCTCCCTGGGGCCTTGCGTGAAATGTGGCGGCTGCAGGTCCTGCTGCGCGGGACGCGCCCGCCCGTGTGACGGTCGCGTGGCGAAGTCGCCTGGGCATTAGCGCGCTCAGAGTCCGCCCTGCTCGGGGATCGGATCGGCGCCGCGCAGGGTGATGGGCTGGGCTGGCGAGAGGCGCTTGTGCCGCCTTCCGCCGTGGCTGTGGCCTGGTCGGGGTCGGCCGCGTCTGGGCGGGGGCTGACGGGGTGGGCGCTTCCCTCGCTGTGCCTCGGGGAGGCGCTGCGATGCGCCTGGATGCGCGTGAGGACGAGCGGGGTGAGCGGCTGCCTCTCCCGCACAGGTGGGGCAGGTTTGGCCTGGGCAGGGCGCAGTGCTGCAGCTACGTTTGGCGGGGGCGTGTGCTGGCGCTGTTGCCAAGCGCGCACGTTCGCATCGCGCCATCCTTCGGGGCGCCCAGCCCTGCCACGGTTTGTTGCAGCCCCCTGGGCTGAAGCCGCAGGGGTTATCATTGCAGGCTGGTTGCTGGAGGGGCCCTCATGTCGACCTGAGTAAAGGCCCCAGGCGCGCGTGGACCCTGGCACTGGCGAAGTGGCCCTTAGGGCATGTATGGGGTGCACGCGAATAGCCGATGGCCGCTGGGTGAACCCTGGCGTTGGGGGCTTGGCCGTAGCTGGAGGCGGCTGCTCCAGCAGCCGCAGGCCTGGCACCTATGGGACCACGGTGGTAGGCGGCAACCCCGTCGTAGGCCGTGTTACCGCCTGTCGGGACTCGCGCAGGGGAGCGGTAGCGTGGTGTGCCCTGCTGTCCTGCGTCACGTTGGCCCCGCTGCTGGATGCGCTGCTGGTGCTGTTGGTGGCGCTGCCAGTCGGCTCTCGAGAGGGGACGGGTGTCGGGGAGGATGGTGGGCACGTCGGGCCGCTGCCAGCCCCGATAGACGTGCTCGAAGGCGTGGTCAGGGTAGGTCCCCCCTACGGGTGAGTATCGTCGCACATGCTCCGTGTAGTCGATGTTCTGCGGCTCTGAGATCGCCGTAAGGTTGATGGCCCGCTGGTGCGCTGGTCCATAGAGGCAGAAACTACCACGGTTGCTGCGGTCGTGGTTTAGCTCAGCTTCGGTCGTGGCACGGCTCACCATGGCGTCACAGAGTAGCATATCGTAGTCGAGAGCTTGAGGCCCAGGACCACCCTCGGCGTCCCAGTACAGTACCACATCTCGCCAGCGGGTGCGGGTCATGTGGGTGCGCTCGGCGATCAACTCGCAGACGGTCCTGACCGTGACACGATCCCTGTACATGTTGGTAATGGCCAGACATCCTTTACTCATGGTTTATTTTCATTGATTTCTTTCTTTTTCAATTCTTATATTTTATTTTTCGTTCCTCTCCTCTTTTTTGTTCCACTCGCCATCTTGACTCTCTCGTCTCTCTTACCTGTTCAATCTGGTTCGCAAGATCTTCCATATCTCTTTTTGGGGGACCTTCGGGAGTAGGGTCGGCGGACCGTCTTGTTGAAGGTGAGTTCCTCCTTGAGGGCCTGGTGGGGACTGAAGAGCACGAAGCCTTCCCTCCAAAGCGGTTGGTCGGGGGAGGGTTCTTCGGGCATCCCCGTTCCTGTGAATCAGGTGGCCGCGTTGTGCCGTCAGGCAATCCCTGCCTGGGGACGCGCCGCGGCTGTGGTGGGAGGTACCATTGGCCCTGGTAGCCTGCTTGCCCTGGTTGTGGAGGTTCTCCCCCGGGGCCTGTAGGCGCTCGGGGGGGTTCCTTGAGGTCGTGGAGGGCTGGCGCGTTGCCGAATTGGCGGGCAAGGATGTGCGGCGGCATCCCTGTGGCACGGACGTCGAGCTGGTTGTGTGGCCTGGGGGGGTGGGGACACCTGCTGGACAGGCAGCATGTGTCGGAGTCCCTCTTATTGGTGCTGTATGCACACGTCCAACTGTTGCACGAGTAGTCCGTGGACCAGTCCATAAGTGTACGCAGTCCGCTGCGGCAGCAGTCTGGGCACGTTGGTTGGCCCGAGGTGCCAAGCTGTGTGTTGCGGCGAGCCGCGCAATATTGGCAGCATTGGAATCGACACTGTAGGCAAGACCAGCGTCCTGGTAAAGGCGGTAGCGCATGCTCGTTTGTGCCTGGGTCGCCTGGGTGGGGTCTCGGGCGATCCCACAAGGGCCAGACGTCAGCAAACCAGGATTGGCCTGTAGTGCGGACAACCTCGGCGGGGAGGCGTGCGTCCTCGGCATGGCACCTGATCCACTGGGGCCCCATATCCGCTGGTACCATGACGGTGCGCCAAGAGTCGTCCCCCTTCACGTGGACTTGGGTCGGTGCCCAGAGCTTAGTAGTGGTGTCGCCGTGATCATGATGGAGGATGACCCAGCCGTCACGCCCGTCCACCGTAGGGTCAATGACGCGGTAGCCCATGACTGTCGTCCCCCACGGTAAGTAGGCGCCATCGTGGTGATCGCCAGGGTCGAGCCAGACCTCGATGCCAGGGGCGTTGACACGGGACCGCACATCACGCACGTGGTAGGCGAGGACGTGGTAGGCAGTCGGCTCCTCCTCCGTCACAATGTGCTCCCACGTCTCGATGCCGCTGTTGTCGGAGGTGGAGTTCCCGTCGCTCTGTCGTGACGAGCGAGAGGCGGATCGTCGCGCACGGGCGCGGCCTCGGGCGAGGGCGGCGGCCGCGCTGATGAGGGATGGCGTACG